TATGTACCCATTCAGATGTACAGAGTGAATGTCATTCCCACTAACAGCACATGTGTGTTAAAAATCTAGAGTTGTAAGTTCATTGCATGAGTTCTCCTAAACAAACATTTCAGACACCACCAGGTCACATCTTTAAAAATGACATCCTTCTTTCTTTAAGCCTGACTCACCACCGTCTACTCCAATTCCATCATCCTGGTCAGATCCCCTCATGTCAGTATCCGATGGCTGCACTAGCCTCCTAGCTCCTTGCTGCCCGAAGTGTGGCTCAGCGGCAGCCACAGAAGGATCACCTAGGAGCTTGTTAAAAATATGGAGTCTCAGGCTGCAGCCAAGATCTCCTGAATCAGAATGTAGATTTTAACAAGATCCCTACATCATCTCTTTGCACTTTAAACTTTGAAGAGCTTCCCTCTGTTCTATTCTATTAGCTCCTCCAATTCATGGTATTAACGTAGACCGCTAACTTTATACAGAGTAGCCAAAATTGTAGTGGCATTACATAAGCATATGTAAATGCCACACTCTTTTTAATAACAACAAGTTGATTAGGAATTCTAGTTCTGGGTAACCAGGTGTAAATCTCCTTGTTTTTTCCCTTCTCTTCAGTAACAATGCACCACCTGTTCCTCTAAGCCCCTCCACATGGAGGAAGGGAGCTATCCCTCCTTTTTCTTCCTCTGCTACTTTGGGCTCTTCCTCTTTTACTGTGTTCACATCAGCACAAATACATATGCAAACTTCTAGCGTAGTTTTTAATATCTTCTGATTGTCAAACATAATTAAGGGTAATGTAATATGGTATAATGTGTAACTTGTAATTCAATCTATAGCATGAACTACAACTCTGACATATAAAATCCTAACACACAGCTCTCAGAAAATCAACGTTAGATGTCTTTCAAGGATTGTAGAATTTCACAGGAAAAGGACTAGATCCTGAAATAAACAACTCTCATTTTAGAAATGTTCGCATCAATGCTAGGAAAAGATACAAAAATTAAAAGTGGCAGATCTATGATAAAATTCAGTTATGTTGACCTTTTATTCTTTTATACTTCTATGATATTGTTAGTTTAAAGCTGTTTTACTTAGTTTTGATTTTTTTTTTCATTATTTCTCCAGCCTCATGCAGTACTTAAGAACAGGGACTTAGGAATGAAGCAGTTTTGAGATTGGAATCACAACAAATCCTTTCATTTAAGTAAGGCCCTGCACCAGTAGTTTAACCTCTCTAAGACATGCCGTATTGTTATTAAACTGGAAATAAAATACTATCTTACAGGTTTGCTGTGTGTATTAAATGTAATGATGCAAATTAAGCAATTAATATTCTGACTATTCCAAATAAATATTGGTTATTTTGTAATTATCATTATCACAATGTATTCAAACTTATTTGACTAATATTATTATCATAGATTATCTGGTTGGACAGACTAGTATCTTTTTATATATATCCTTATACAATCACTTATGTGTATATGGAGTTATTGTTTCTATGATTTAATGAGCTTCTATCAAATGTTAGTATTTTAGGAAGCTGATGAGATTTTAGTGATCCAAAACAATACAAAACAAAACCAAAAAAGTTACAAGAGTGTAGGCTCATTTGACATATTTTTTCTATTTTATTTTTGTTATAAACTATTACTACACCCACGTTATGGGATCGTTTTGCTATTTTTCTTTAATGGAAAATACTCCCTTTCCCTTTCACTGATGAAAAGTCCATACATTTTCATTCTGAAATCCTACCTTGTCTAGGCAACTTTCCTAGATAGGAAAACATACTCCATTTGTTTTCTGAATTTCTAATAATTTTATTACAAAAATACAGTAGGGACAAAAAGGTGTCTTTTCCTCACCCATTTCCAGGTCTATGACTGACCACCCCTATAAGAGAAGGCAGATTAACAAGAGAAAAGCATAGCAAATCTGTGTAATCAAAGTCTTCCTGGATATGGATGCCTTCAGAAATTAAGAACCAAAGACCAGGGAAAACTGTATTTTTGTGAATAGGTTTGATGAAGAATGGAGAGCCATGTAGAAACATGACTGAAGAAAAAGGGTATGATCTAATGGTAATAGACTGGAGCGAACTTAGTAAAGCCCGTTTGTTCAGATTTTTTTAGCCCCTCCTTGTAGCATTCCTTTCCCCTGGATATGGGGCAAGGCATTTCTCAAATGAGGGTCATATGGCCTATTTCCAGGGATGGTAGGGCAGAAAGTGTCCTCTAGGTTTTATGACTTATTTTCAGGGAAGGAGTCCCAGTTTCTATGACCTTCATTGTTCCACTTTTTCTACTGAGAGATGTGGAAGAAGGAGAAAGGAGGATGGAAGATCAGAAGTTATTGTTTCTGCAGCCCTTTCAACTCCTTTAGTTCAAGGTAGTCAGCATGCCAAAGCATTATACTTTGGGGTCTCATCTTACAGCTCAATAACACATTGTTGTACATCCATTTTTCCTTCACCAAAAATGCTAGTTTCCTTAGTTGTAAGCTAGTGAAAAGCAGAAAAAAATGTAAAATATTTTTTGTTTCTTTCTTGACTCAGCCAATTTTTTGAACCAAAAGAAATACATAATAATATAAT